TCTTGCCCTGCCCTGTTTCTTTTCCTTTCTCTACCGTCACAAAATGTCTTTCCTCCTGTAGACCTCCAAGGAAATCTCCGGGGGTTACCAGAACCAATCTTATGAGCAAGAAGAACACCCAGATGTGAACACCAAGCAGCATGAGGCGTCAGAAAATGACAGTGTTCAGTTGATGACAGAAACACTAGAGCAGCCAGCGCTTTCCTTGCCCTCTTCCAATGCAGAAGAAATTAATGGCCTCCCAAAGGCTTCCATAGCTTCCACCATCCTCTTTGACCAGGAAGAGAAAGAGGAAGAAGTGAAAGAAGAGGCTGAGCATGAGAAAGAAGTGAAGTCTATCCTCAAGACAGACAGGCACGTGACAGATGACGGCTACAAAGCTGTGTGGTTTAAGACTGATGTGGATCCAGATGCTGGAGAGAAGGTTGAAGTGATTGAGGACAATGGAGCAGATAGTGATGATGACAGTGACCAAGATCTGCAAAAGAATGAGGAGGAGGAAGAAGATTATGACAAAGATGATCACCACAGAGGGCTGGGAATCTCTTTTGCCTCAGAGGGCTCATCGCCCCCAGCTGCAGAAGAGATAGTCAAGATGTCTCGCACAGATGCAGTGACAGAAGATGACAACCATGTATAATGGAAATAGGCCTGCTCTCTCCTCAAGAAATGGGGAATCTCAGCTGCTTTGCTGACACAAAGCCCATCTTTCTGCTCAGGGGGAAACTGGAGTGCAGGAGGGCAAGGTTGTCTGACCTGCTTGTCTGAATGCAGGGATTAAAGCCGGCAGAGATTCAACCTTTTAGTGAAACCTTGAAATATCACTTAGGATTTTGGGTGAGAGGAACATGTCCCATGTCTCCACCTTCCTATCTGTTCCCCTTGGGGCCCCTCCCATCACATTTCCCAAGCTGGCTGCAGGTCCAGCAGCGACGGAGCTGAACTGACTTTGGAGCAGTTCACCCAGCTCACGGTAGCGATGAACAACGCAGTGCTCACCTCCCCGTGGTGGGTGAATCAGCCAGCAGTGACTGCTTGGCTGCTCCCTTCAGGGTGTTAGCTTGGTGCCAGCTGCAGGGCGTGAGCCAGCGCGAGTCGCCCTGTCCCTGCAGTTCCTCATATGACTGTACCCAGGAGCTCACTTCAGGGCTTGGCTCTGCTCTCCGCTGTGCCTGACTGAGCTCCTAGCACAAGCAGCTGGCATGTGCCACCACGGTCCCCGTCCTGCCAGCAGCCAGGAGTTTACGTGCTCAGGAGCTGCTGTTCCCTCTGTCACTGGTAAGCAAGGACTCATCACGTGCTTCACTGAAGGACTTTGTCATCAATTTTTCTATGTCATAAAACCACTAATTGCACAGTACTTCTTTAGCTGTCTGTCTCCTATCTGTCAGGGAAAAGGAGAGCTCCTGGGTAGGACCTGGGGGTATTTCCAGCTCCTTGGGCTTTTGGCAGCCAGAGGTGTCATTCCAGAGGTGCTGGGTGTGGGGTTGGCACAGTTTCCCATTGTTTCCCCTGTCCAACAGGGCTGAAGGTGTCACTTTTACCATTGCTGCTGAAGGTGGAGGTCAGTATTGCCTCCAAGTGCCAGATGTCACTGCTGCCTCTCTGCTCCTGTCTTGTCTTAGATGTCAACCCTTTGCATGCTGCTTTCTCCATTCACAAGGTTTTTTTGCTGGTAGGACCATCTTTCAAGCTTCATCTAGAGCTGAGCTCAGCCTGAGAGCAGAGGTGGTTTGATGAGAGCAAGTCAGCTCTGCTGTACGTGGCTTATGAGTCCAGGCTTGAGCTGGAACGCCTGCTGACCTCTGGATTGACTTCCTGGGAGGACAGTGCCCTAGCATGTTGGAGCCCTCCTCCCTCAATCCTCCCTCCTCTTTCAGCAATATTGCCTCCAATTATGGTCCTGCCATAGCGCCCTGGTTCAGTACAGTGAGCACACCACTGTCAGGTAGCGTGGGGAGTAAAGTGTTTGACACTCTGGTCTAGATTTACCCTTCCCACCAACCAATCTCTTCCCCTACCTGGCAAGCAAAAGCCGAGCTGATTTTCACTGGCTGAGTGTAGGGCTGTGTGCATTGGCATCTTCTGATCTATCAGCACAAATTCTGTGCTGCTCCTGGTTTTCTCATTCTGGGGGTAGTTACAGAGCAGGCGCGGGCTGTTGAGTGTTTAATTTCTGTAGGAGTGTCCCAGACAGGGATGCAGCAGAAGGAGCTTGGGTCACAGCTGTTTATCTCTCTTTCACAGCTTAGCACAACAGCACAGGACTGCAACAAGGTAAGTCTCATGGTAGAGAAGAAAAGCCAATAAATAATCCTGCCTTTTCCCTACGAGCCAATCTCCACACGGCTGCCATTAGCCCAGACAAACCCAAGTGTGGCTGCTGGGATCTGCACGTACACCAAAGCACAAAGGGTTTCCAAGGAGGTTTTTATCCTCTTGATCCATACTTGATTTCTGTACCTCTCTCTGTCCCGGTGCTGCTAGTGCTCAGTTCTGCTCTCTGTTCTCTGAGGAGCGCTGCCTTTGCTGTGAGGACTTCAGGAGCTGCCCTTTTGCAGAAGGTGGAGACTGAGATGTGGAAAGCTTTCGTCCTTACTGCAATAAAGCTGTTTGCCCAGAAATCACAAGTGCAGTTCACCTGATAGGGGAGGGTGGGGAGCACGCCCTGTGTTTGCCATGTAAGCATTGTTCCTCTAGCAGCTCAGGGTTATCTCCAGCAAACATTTCCCCTGGGACTCTGAGAACCCTCCAACAGTTGCTAATTGCTGGCCCAACATCTTCAGCCACCAGCAAGGGTGAGGGCAGAGCCCAGCCTGCCCCCCGTGCTGCTACTGCTCACAGGATTGCTGATGGGTGGGTGAAGCTCGAGTGGTTCTACTCATTTGCTTTTTTTCACCTCAGGCTAAAGATCCCAAAGCCTGCCACCAGCTTGCTGTGTGCCAAGAATATGCCATTTTTGAGGTACTGCTGCCAGGGTTAGGATGGTGCTGAGGGGGGCATAGCAGGAGGTTGGGGGCTGTCTTCCTTTGCCTGCCCCTGGATGGGCAGGAGGGACCGAGGGAAAATGCTCTTGAGCCATCACTGATGATGCTGATCCTCACCACCACTCCCCTGACCCCACATCCTGTTTCCAAACTTGGGTCTCAAAAGAGGTTTTGGGCACTTCTTCCTTTTGTTCTCTCTGTTGTAGTGATTTGTTTGTCTGTTTAGGCTGGGAAGGTTGACTAACTTTTTGCATTATTGTACAACAATCATGCTCATTTATAAACATTTATATGAGAAAGACAAATATACTGAGTGACAGAAATGTGTTTGTAAAATTGTTTGGATCCATCAGAAGACTTTTGACAAAGCAAAATAAAGAAAAAGTGTTTCAGTAAGCTTTTAAATCAATATAACAGGTTCAGATGTGAGTATTATGAGGAGCACTATGACTTTTCTGAGACAGGCATAAAGTTTCATGCCCTGGTTTTTACATTTCTGTGCAGGACTGAAAGGCATGTAAGTGCTTAAGAAATTTGATCCACCATTAGTACAACCCTGGCTTAATAGGACAGGAAAATATGTTCAGAGTTTTCAACAAATCTGCAGGGGGAAAACGGTAATTTCAATGTGACAGTGGTAAATCTGGATTTGAGATTACAGCTGGAAGCTGAAAGGAGCCTGAAATGCATCGCAGAGAGGACTCAGCTGCCAAGGGAGAGGATGCTCCTGACGTTCTTGAGCTTTGAGCACCCTCTCCTGGAGTAACCACCTAAGAAGTGGCAGTTTCATTTTCATCCTTGGCCAAAGCAACGTCCCTTCGTGGCTGCCAGGCAAAACTGTAAAGCTGAATTGAAATCAGCAGACACAAGCAGGGAATTTGAAAAATCAAGTAAAATACAGACATTTTACCTTCAGGAAGTAACAGAAACAAACAAAATCCCAGGTGTCTGAAACTCCATTTCTGCTAGCTCAAATTCTGTCCCCATTTTGAACTGAATATCCTCACAGATCCCACCAAGTCTTCACTGGCACAGCTGACAGCAAGGGCATCCTTTTGCCTTTTCTACCTCCAAGGGAAAAATGGGTTTGGTATATTGGCTAATGAGGGTGCAGAGGACACTTTTAGGCTTAGTTTTGAAGGCATGGAACAGAACTGGAGACCTGTCCTCTTTGTATGTGGGATACCAGAACTATCTAGCATTTTTCTGAAGCAATAATGAATCCTGATCTCTTCAATCACATAATCCAAATTATTCTTGATCCCAAAGAACAGCTTCCAAATGATCACTTGTGAGCTGTAGAAGACCTGTTTTAACCTGATTTGCCTTGGATATACAGTGTCTTTAGATCCAGAAGGGATTATTTTTCCTTTAAAAATGTAATTTCAATTTTATTCTGGTTTGTACAATTTATTTTTTCATTAGATGGTTACTGAGTTCTCAGAAAAGTAAAACTCACCTCAGCAGACCTGTAAATGGAAACTTAAAAAAAAAATGGGATCAACTCCATCACATGGACTTTAAGCAAATTATGGCCTTTAGTTTTTATAAATACATATTTTAACCAATCAATAAAAACAAAGCCATTTCAGAGATTCAGAGGAACAGGTCTAGAACTATAACAAAAACTGAGTTTGCAGAAATGACCTGTGGAGAGTAGTGACCCAGTTACAATACTTAGATAGAAATTGTATTTCAGAGAGTATAATCCCATCTTTTGCTCCTAAAAGAGGGGACAAACCGAAAGAGGAAATGAACCAAAGACAGCAGCTGAAACAGACTGAAAACAACAACAAAGATTTAGTGGAGGTGGGACATCTGCATTCCTCAATCAAAACTGTCTGTTCTTTCCATACATGCAAGAAGTTTTCCTCCTAATGCCTCTTTCCTCTGTTTGTGGTTCAACAAAGTAAAATTTTACATTATAAAATCAGAAAATCACATAAACTCACTGACTTACACTCAAGATTTCACAAGATTTCCTTCACTACCATCTGACCAGATAAAAATACCATGTTCTAAGACTTGTGTTTATATACGATTAAAAAAAGAAAACTTTGATTCAACTCAAACCCAGAGGACTGTCCTCCAAGTCAGTCACTGTTGTAGAAAGTTGGGATTTTAATGAAATTTAAGGATATTTTGTTAGATTTAGTTTTGTGTTAGTGCTCTTATCTCTGTTAGCTGTTATGTTGCAGCACACACATTTGGTTCTGTATCCCTTTCAGGTATTTCATGATTTCTTACACATTTAGTGAAGCAATCACCCGTCAATGACATGACCACAGTTTGCCTTTTATACAGACATCTTTCCTCAAAACTCCCCTGAACAACCCAAATATTGGGCTGTGATTATCTTTTATGTTTACTTTGCATGCCTGCGCTCACAAGAGGACTTTTACTGATATGAAAGCTATCGAGTATCTATACAGTGAGGGGTGATTATTACATTCAATCTGTGAGTACAAAAATTCCTTCTGAGTCTGTGAGTTACTAAGGTCAGTTGTGAGGGGAAAAAATCACTTTTTACTGATGAAATATTTAACTTTCTTTATGAGAAATATATTTTTTATTGATCACCTTTCCAATAATAGCAGGCAGCTAATCTATATCACTCACAGGAAATTTTTGTCTATGTCTAAGGCAATTTTTT